GTTTAGGGTTTAGCGCTTAGGGTTTCTGCTTCACATCTTTTTCAAAAGCCCTGCACTCCAAGCAGCTCCGTGCCTGTTCAATTTGCGCTTCGGCGCTCGGCTGGAAGGAAAATATGCAGCGATGCGTTAAGTCAAATGATTCTGTCTCTTGCCGCCTGCAAAATCCTAGCTGTTTGAGCTTCAGACCCCATGTAATTGCCATTACCTGTTAACGCCGTATATATGAGGGCATTGGTGTTGTGTAACCATTGTTGTCTGGGGCGGCCTACTCTACGGGTTCCGATTAAGCAAGGGTGTGCTTCACATCTCAAACACCCAAACCCACACCCCAACACCAGAAACGTCCTCAAGAAAAACGATAACCCCATACCCCAACAACGTCGCATTCCCGAGCCAAGGCCCCAAAGAATGAGCTTGGACGCGACAGTCTAAACTAGGTCCCTGGGTTTTAGGCTTTGGGGTTCCTCCTTGCTGAGACCGAGCTTGTCGTTGAGAACGCCGTACATTGCGAAGAGCTGGTCTGGGTCAAGCTGCTTCTTTGCGTACTCAAACCTGGCTTATAGATTTTGCTACATCGGAATCATGAGAGGATGCCCCAAGCCCTAAACCCTAAACCTTAAGTCCTAAGCCTTAGTACCCTCAACCCCTCGACACCCCCCCTCCCCTTCCACCCAAAAAAACGCACAATCTTCGTTAATCCATGCTTCTTGCAATGCGCAGGGATTAGACTTCCTTGAGGATGGAGGCATCAAGATCGTTCAGTGTTTCAGGTCACGGTCAAAAAATAGGGGTTAGGGTTTAGGGTGAAGGTGTAGGGTTTAGGGGTTCCGGGTTGAGGGTTTAGGGTTAAGGGAACGGTTTAGGGTTTCCGTTTATATAAGTGGGGTTAAGGAAAGCTTTGGTGTAGGGATGTGCGGCGCCAAGGGCAGACTGGAGGCTGCTCTAAATTACGAACACCGTTCTAGATGACGGGCCCTTTCCAGATCTTTCCAGTATCCGACATACTCATCAATCTACTGTAATGGTAGCCCTGACATGCTCATGATCTAGATCAGGCCCGGCGTTGGTGCATGTTGTATTCTATGCTTACGGAGGCTGTAAGCTTTTACTGTAGAAGCCTGGCATTCCTCAGTATCTCTTGACTCTGGATTCTAGCTAACGTCAGCTCAACTCATGAGCAAGCTCCCCCTAAACCCTAAACCCTAAACCCTAAACCCTAAACCAAGAAACGCCACCGGAACCGCTGCACCCTTGTCGAAGTACATCTTCTCGCTGAGCACCCAATGAAGCTGCTGGAGATATCCGAGCGAGGCACCACATGTCCTGGGATCTTACATTGAATCTAAGGGGTTTAGGGTTTAGGGTTTAGGGTTTAGGGTTTAGGGTTTAGAGTAGGAGGGACCCTTTATAGGGACCCTTGTAGGTTATTGGGGTTGATATGGAGACTACCTGGCTATATAAGGGGTATATACGGACTATACAATGGTTATTCAAGGTAATGGGATCAAGGGTCCCTAGTAGGGGTCCCTCCTAAAGTCCTTGGATTGAACTTCTGTAACCTAAGTGGCTGTCATAGGGATCTATGCTCTTCTTATCTGGCACCTTATCACCAACTCCCTAATACGAGCCAGGAATCTCCATGTACCACCACTCCTTCTTTGCCCATTTCTGAGCATCCGCTTGGGTCATTTTCAGGCTCGTGAGCCAAAACTCAAGATCCCTCTCTGGATCGCGGGCTTCTGACATCGAGGCTTGCATGGCGAAGCTGTCATCCTCCGCACTCTCCACCCTAAACCCTAAAACCCTAAAACCTCAGCACTAAACCCTAAACCCTAATACTCTCTAGTTGGTAGAAGAAGACCAGGGCCCGGCCCCCCTAAGGAGCCCGGTCCTTATTCCGGCGTGCCGATGCTGGAAGCATCAGCATCAGCCTTCAGGGAGAAATGAACCCCGCTACAATAGGGTTTAGGGTTTAGGGTTTAGGGCGTGCTACAATAGGGTTTACCTTCAGGACGAAATGAACCCCAAAAGGTCTTGGGGTTCATAGACCAAAAAGGATAGTTTCAGGGTATAGGGCCCCTACTTATAGGGTCATTTGGTCCCCAAGGAACACGGCCACTGCGAAGGTCGGAGGCGCCATGGCGGGATCGACGTGTACTTTGGTGTGCTTGGCAACAGAACCAGAGAGCTAAGCCTCAGCGGCTTGAGTCGAAAGCTGCAGCTGTCGCTCTTTTGTTCCAGATGCCTTCTTCATAACCTCATAGTCATGCATACCATAAACTCTGCTCCACTCCACTATCCTATCCTGTCCCATCATATCTTCTACTGTCCTATACCGACCATACTATAATATATGTGCCAGCCAGTATCGGCGGCAGCCGTAGTGCTAGAAAGACCTTTCCGGTGAACCACCGTCAGATACCCCCCCACACACACTTTAACCCTGAACAACCTACCTTTCTAAGGACTTGTACAAGGACACCACAATCAGGCTTCCCCCTAAACCCTGAACCCTAAACACTAAACCCTTTATCTGGGGTCCAGGCAAACCCTATGTGAACCCTGCGGCGTGCAGAGGTGCTGATCTCTTCTTGCCCACTGAGCCCTAGCCCTAGCCACCCAAAAGCCGTAAACCGTCAACCCTAAACCCTAAACCCTAAACCCTAAAGACCTAAGCCCAAAAGCCTAAACCCTCAACCCATAATTTCGGCATGAAAAGCTAGTAAGCCGTTATATTGGAGAGCTTACGGCTCCCCATCGGTGCTCGCTGCGAGACACCCAGTTTACGAGCTTTGGCTTTTTGGGGCGGTTTGGGTTTCGGGTTTTGGGTGTTTGGTTTTGGGTTTTGGGTTTCGGGATTAGTGATTAGGGTTTTGGGTTTGGGGCCTTGGGTTTTGGGAGCAGTTGCCCAGCCCCAAAGACATGCAGTCTAAACCCTAAACCCTAAACCCTAAACCCTAAACCCTAAACCCTAAACCCTAAACCCTAAACCCTAAACCCTAAACCCTAAACCCTAAACCCTACATGCAGTGCTCCCAGGTACGGTCCCCCTTGGGTGTAGCAGGGCGCAGATGATCCATGCAGGCTCTACAGTCTCACGGTTTAGGGTTTAGGGT